GACCACTAGACCAAAAATCTTCCTTTAGTCACACAGATTATGATGAATTCATATTAATGATTCGCTAATCAAATGAATATTTTAACTGTGCATTTTTTTACATGTTATTATACATTTAATGGTATTTAATTTAATTCAAATTTGAATTAAATTAGGACGGTTGCATTTGATTATGAAACAAGAAACAATAGTGAGATGAGAAGTTTGTTTTTATTGTCTTATTTTTTCTCATGGTACTAGAGCAAACGGTACCCTTTAATCAGATTAATCTTAATCTTAATAAAAGTATACTTTGACTATAACGATTTAATAATTACATAATTAGGTAGGTACAGTTTTTTTCAAATTAATTAATCACTAAATGTACTTTAGCTTTCTTCAAGAGGGTTGAGAGAAAAAGCGTGCAGCAAAACTACCAGGAAATAACGTAAAGTTTCTTACAAATATGACCACCATATATCCGCAGAGGTGTATTTTTCCGGACAAGAGAAGAGACATTTATCAAGTACCTAACAAACCTTCTTTACCCATAAACAATTCGAGCCAATTTAACGGTACTCGTATCTAAAACACGATATTAAAAGAGAATCTTAAAACATTGAAATCCAAGATATCCAAAACGTAATTTAATAGGCAATCGCGGTAGGTATCTTTCGTCATTTGGCTCGAGTAAACATAACTGAAACGCTGTTCGAAGTTTGAAACATCAAATACGGCATATGTTGGTAGTACTGTTCCGCAATATCGGCAATACGAAATTAATTACAACTAATTAATGCCGGCATTGGGGCTTTTTTTCTGAATGCCAACGTTGATGATGATGATGATGATGTTTCGTGTGCTTTGCACCGTTATATCTAAGTGGATAATTAAGAAATTCACTCTTGAAGGGATAATATTTCGAGAAAAATTTACAGTGTTTGGTAGATGCTATTATCCGCCACACTTGTTCCACTAGTAATAATGACTGTTGACAGATTTAATGCCAATTATTTTAATTGCGTGTTGTCCATAGAAATACCGCTAATCCGAAAATTCGCTGTAAAACGATTTGAGAATTTAATGTGATAAAGATGTTATCACTTAACATTTACAGGCATGAATAATCCTAACAATTTTATCGGGTCTTCCTGGATTGGACTTGGAGGGTGGTCTATGAAAAATAGCCAGGCAATTATAGAAGCTATAGTAGTGGAACTTTGATGATTTTTTGGGCTCTATATATCTAGTATAGTGAAGTGTTTGAAATAGTTTAAATTGACAAAAAATCACTTAATTCAGAAAGTCGTTATTAGTCATTCACATGTATTTTGGAGCATTATTGCAGCATTATAGTATTTCGGCCTCGGTATTAGGAGAGGAACATACCTATTCCCTTTTGTGTTTTGAAATTTGACTTTTAAATGGCGCCACAGGTCATTCCACAAGTGATGGTTGGTTGGTTTATCGGTTGGTTGAGATGCAGAGTGAACAGGCCGGGTCAGGTGGTCCTATAACACTGTGAAAAGTTTCTTGAAGGTGTTTTCCCAGGCTACAGTATCCAGTTAAAAGTTGAGGTATTAGCCTGATTTGACTCCTGTTTAGTTGTGGGATCTCTTCAGCAAGTTTAGGTGATGGTTGTTGTACCATTAGCCTATTGTGTCTGAGCTTCGGAAGAGTTTGCCAGTAGGTTTGGTGTTGTCTATAGGTTTTTCAAGCACGCCCAAACAAGTTTGGATTTTATTTCAAAGCTGTTGAGTGCTTTGATCGACGCTTGACTATCTCAGCAGATAACGATGTTTTTGCCTGTATATCCCTCCTTAGGTTTTCTCTGAGACAGGAATCGATAGCATATATTTCTGCTTGGAATACAGTAGTGTATTCTCCCAGAGGTTGACTGGTGTTGCATCTGGGAGTTTGTCCATATATTCCAGCGCCGGTTCCAGTTTCTGTTTTGGAGCCATCAGTAAACCAGACAATTTCCTGTTAAGGTGTTGCCTCGGTATTTCCTACTGGGACAATCTCGATAGTGAAGGGTTTTTTGAGGGTTTTTTTCGGCATCATATAGTCGGTATCCATGGTTAAAATCAGGTTTGTGATTATTATGATGATTGCCATATGTCCATTTAGTTTCGAGTTCCAGGTTCCGTTGAGCTGTAGACGATATGCCCCGATTCTAGCCTTTGCTTTGATCGCCCTAGCAACAAAGATCAAGAAACCTCGGCAACAGCGCTTGCTGCACAGGATCAACAAGTGTCCCATAACCACACTTATTCGGGAAAAATAAATAACCGGGAAAATGTAAATATTAGTGCAAATAAGGGTGAAAAAGCGATTTAAAGGGTGTGAAAGTGATTTGTGGTGTTGCAGAATTCTTAATAATGAAAAATACGAGACTCGTAAGTGTTGCCAATTGATACTTATTTGGAGGTTAACAAACATTTTCATCCACAGTTAGGGCTTTTTGGACAATTTTCATAAGCTAAATAAAATAGATTTCGATCCTAACAGTAGGGCTTTATTATCCTAAAACTACCTCGTCATCTGGATACAAAAAATTAACTCAGTATTACCCCGAAAAATATATACCCTTGTTCAACAACTAGATATTGTTTCGCATCCAAACAAAAAGGCAGAATTCTCTGAGAATCCTATCAATCACTGAAAAATAGTAATCCTCAGGTATAAAGCTTTATAAATACCCTCACAAATACCTGAATTAATTAGTGAATGAATTATTCGAAATCTCCAGTTACGTACTAAGTCAAAATTTGTACTAAGTTTCTATCTTTTTGTTTGAATGCGAAACAATATGTGGGTGTTGAACAAAGGTATACTTTTTGAGGTTAAACTGAGTTAATTCTCTGTATTCAGATGACAGGGTAGTTTTAGGATAATAAAGCCCTACTAATAGGATCGAAATCTATTTTATTCAGCTTAAGAAAGTTGTCTAAAAAGCCCTAATTATTGATGAAAATTATTCCCACTAATATTTACATTACCTGGTTATTTATTTTCCCCGAATAAGTGTGGTTATGGGACACATGTTGATGCTTTCCAAGATGCGCTGTTGCCAAGGTTTCTTGACCTTTATTGCTAGCGCGTTGCTATGACATTGCTATTTCTGACCATCAGGGCTATCTATACTTTGTAAACTGCTTTTCTGAATAGACTTGTCGTGTTTTCGTCGTTACCAGTGACGCAAATTCTTTCGAAGTCCAGGGCCTCTTCTGCCTTCGATTTTTCCCTCGAAAACTGTCATATTTTGCTTTAAGATCTTCGATTTACTAATACTGTTTGTTTAGACAATTTTCTTCAACTACCCTGACTTTGTTTTTTATTTCACGATTCAACTGATTGGCTGGTCTTTTCGCAGGCGTCTTTCTTTCATCAAATCCAGGTTTCATCAGTCATCCAAGTTATTTTCCTGATCCTAGTGTTACTTGATGATAATTTCGAGCTGAAGCTAATAAAGATTTCCCTGATACCGGCCCATACAGTCACCACTTTTTATTTCTCTGCCATGTTTATCACGTTTGGTTTATTATTCTTGATTTGATGATGATTGATTGTTGACCTAAATATGTCAAATAAATGATCCATCCTCAGCACAACATCTCTAATGCACAGAGGGGAAGAAGCTTCCTCTCACTATTCTAGACTCTCTTTTACTGTGACCACCATAAGCCTGTTCTGCACACAGTTTTCCCCACCATTATAGAGCATCATGTTCGATGAAGATTGTGAGCTGAAGAACATCTCATTCAAACTCTTGAATAGTAGAGACACAGCCGAGTCCACAACTTATTCACCAATGAATCAAAGTTTACTTAATTCCATTCAGATTTACAAACTCGCCTCTAGAATCAACCTGCTAATTATGCTCTAAGGTAGAATCTGCTTGAAAGGGTGCGCAAATTCCCACCGTCTCCAACTCGTGAATTTGGAATCACCCGTCAAAAAAATTAGATGGCCGGCGAACTCACCTGATATTAAACCATCAATAAAACTTTTAATTTCAAATTATCTCGACTGTACAAAAATTAGCTTTTTATTTCCGTATTTCACTCAAATTGAAGCGCAGTAGAAGAGAAACAATCCATTCATCTGCAGTGTTAATACCATCATTGCTTATTCCCGCAAATGCCCTGACACCCAAGTAGGCACTTAATTCCCTCAGCCATAAAATTAGGATCCATGATAAACGGAGGCATTAAAAAAAAAAACCATAACTTATTTAAAAGGCGTCAGGCGCACCAAAGCCACGATTAATAATCTCAAAACGACGGAATGAGAAAATAATGTTGTCCATGGTTGGCTGCCGATAGCGCCCTCCAGAGGCTCACTCTCTCTTTCTCGCAGGTACCCGATCGCTTCCTGGACCCGGATTTTTAGTGTGGTACTTACGGCGCACGATGGGAGGTATTTAAAAGGAGCGCGTGATCCGTGAGATGTCTCGGCAAAAGGTCACAAAGTGCCACTTGACCGAGCGCAACACAACAATAAAATAAAATAGAACGCGGACAAATGAGGATCATCATCGCCACGGGATAGTACATAAAGCCACTTTTACTCTTACAATTGGTATCCCATAAATAGCTATTTATCTGATCTTTGTTTGTAATATAATAATACGCCCTTTCGAGTTTAAAGTTCGCGGAAGTCGAGGGTCGGATTTCGTTATCTCTCGCCTATATGGAGCTTTCTCTTCTCGGTAAACTGGTACCATCTAAATATCTACAATCAATTACATTTATAATGTAACCTGGCGGTGTACTGGAATATAAACCTACATGGAATAAATAAATGGAACAAGGAAGTTGGGTTTAGTGAGGAAGCCTGCCTTCACCTTCGCTTATTATTATTAAAAGGACTTTTTATTCGAGAAGATTCACTTATGATGATTTATTATAAACACGAGTCCGTTTTCTTGTTATAGATCGTAAGAATCATGTACGATAATTTCTATTCAAAGTATAAAAAAATCAATAAAATTGACCATGTATTTTCTCTTGTTCCAGAATTAATCTAAAATGTATTACGCAAAAGAGCTCCTAGTAATATTATTGGGAATATCACTTACTACATGCCAAGAAGCAACTGACAGCGAAGTGATAGATGCACCTGAAAAACTACCTTCCGGAGTACCACCTCCATCACCGTTAGATGATTGCGATCCAGAAATGGTTGGGTAAGATAATTTCACATTATAATAAAAACTTATGAAGCCCAATTCGCACTCAGAGTAAAAGTTTGAATTCATTGGATTCGACGTTGTTGGACCTGTGTTATTTATATCCAGGGTTGTAGGCGTGGCTTGTGTTACGCTGTTCTCGGAAAGGAAGGGTCTTTGTTTTCCGGAGAACTGGCAACCAGCTTTTGTTAAGGTTCATGCCCTCTTCTTTTCTATTGAAGTTATTGGGGTGTTTTTGTATCTATATGGCTTTTATGTGGAGTCTAGTGTAAAAATATTTGGTTCTATCCAATACTTGAGTCTGGTCGAAACGGATGACATGGTTTGTTTGTGTTAACACGTGTTCGGCGATTGCTGATCTATCTATTTTTCTCTGCAGGCAGTTTCTTTTGTGCTCTTTGACACTGGTGTTGATAGAACGTTTGGTTGTTCCTACATAGGCAGATCCACAAGAGCAGGGAATTCTATAGACGCCAGCCGAAATGCTCTTCCTGCCACCTGTGCTGGTTCCTTATTATTTGTGCGCTGTTGCTTCGGTCTTATAGCTCTATTTATCTCCTGCTTGGAGTACCCATTTTCTTCAAGTGCTGATTTTGGTCTTGCATCTCGTCCTAAAGGTATCTGGTTTCACAAATCCAGATTGCCCTGTCAGATAAAGTTTTGATAACTCCTCTCTTTTGCCTAGGATGGTGATTGGATTTCTTGTTGAGGTATCTGTCCGTATGCTTCCTATATACTCTGTGTCCCAGTTTATCTTTCTAAGAGAACGTCAAGGAATGCAATTTTGTTGTCCTTCTCAACTTCCATCGTAAACTGTATCCTGGGTTCTATTGAGTTTAGATGATTAAGGAAGTTTTCGATCTCTACCTGTCCATGGTTCCAAATAACAAATGTGTCATCTACATAGCAAAACCAACAAGTAGGTTTCTTTGTAGCCGTTCGCAGTGCCATTTGTTCGAAGGGTTTCATGTAGAAGGTGGTGATAACCGGGCTGAGTGAACTCCCCATTACAACTCTATCTGTTTGCTCAAAGAATTCATTTTGCCATTGGAAGTACGTAGTCATCAGACAGTGGTGTAATAAGTTGTTGATTTCCTCCGGAAAAAACATCTTTCAGATACTCTAAGGTCTGATTTACTGGTAAACAGCGAGACGACATCAAAACTAACCAGAATGACGTTTGCTAGTAGAGTCATGTCACTGATATTTTTCATAAAATGAGTGGAGTCTTTAACATAAGAGCTGGATTGGCCAATCCGTGGCTGAAGGTATTTGGCTATACTGAATGTGGGCAAATCTATTGCACTTACAATGTATCTGAGTGGGTTACCTGTTTTCTGAATCTTCGAATTCTAAGTGTTAAGGCCTCAGATTTGATGAGTTTCCTTATGTTTTCCGGGTGCAACGGTAGTGCTCGGACGAGTTGATTGGTTTTTCGCAATATAGAAGCAGTGGAATTGCGCTTCAGCTATCTGTAGGCAGGGGCGCCCGCAGAAAAATATGTAGGGTAGTATCAATCGGCAATATCTGTTAGACAAAAAATACTATCAGGAAGATCTCAAATACGTATTATAGGATTGGAGGGGGAACCAAAATGAGACACTTTTTGAGCCTCACCCCTGCTTTGTGTTGCACATCGTTCGATAGCTCGTTGCTTTCCCTTTACCGTCTTATAGCAAAATCTTAAATCGTACGAACATTTTTGAAAAAACACCATTTCCAACAGTATTTTCGAAAGCTTCCATTGTATTTTAGAAGAGTCATTTGTATTTAAGAAATGTATTCCATTATTCATGGGGGATTTCTTAAATACAAATGAGCAAATGACTATTCTAAAATACAATTGAAGCTTTCTAAAATACTGTTGGACATGGTGAAGTAATTTTGACTATCTCTAAACGAAAAAAATCTGCCATAAAAGTCTCCGATATACATCGACCAAATAATGTCTTTATTGTAATTCTATCTGCTTATGCGTGCCTCCAAAGAGGAATAAAAAACCTTCCAAAGGAGGTATCACATGAGGTAGTTTCTCATTCTACACCATCCCAACCTCAATTTCGGAAAAAGTAACTTTTATTTAGGAAAATGAAATTCAAATTCGGAAAAAGTAAATTCAAATTCGGAAAAAGTAAATTCAAATTCGGAAAAAATACATTCAATTACGGAGAAAATAATGTTATTTTTCATAGAATTGCTATTTTGATTTGATTGAGTCCTTTATCTATTTAGAAAATCAAAAAAGAGACCCGATTTTTAAACCATAAAAGAAAGAAAAAAATTACCAAGTCTACGAAATAGAAGAATCAGATATTGAATTAATAGATCCAAATAAAGGAATATTTATAAAGGAAAAAGAACATTCGAGTGACATCAATTTATCAAGACAAGATGTTGTTAGGAAGTTTCAATGTTACACTTGCACTGCTACATTTAAAACCAAATCAAATTTGAAACATCATTCAATAACACATTTGGATATTTGTCCTTTCGAATGTAACACAGTACAAAGCGGAAAATAATGAGTTACAGGGACACATATCAACACTCTTGGATATTTTTCCTTCTAAATGTAATACTGGTAAAAAAAAAAATTAAAGGAAAAGGTGATTTGAACGCACACATATTAACACACTTGGATGAGAAGAATTTTAAATGCGACATATGCAATGCAAAATTTAAAGAAAAATGTAAATTAAAAAAATTTAAACAAAAAGGTAATTTGGAAAGTCACACAACAGACTTTGATAGTTATCTTCTCGAATGTGACATTTGCAAAGCAAAATTTAAAGGAAAAAACTGTTTGAAGAGACACAAACTAACATATTCTAATATTTATCCTCTTAAATGTGACACATGCAATGCAAAATTTGAACATAAACGTAGTTTGAAAAGCCACATATTAACACACTCGGATAAAAAGAATTTCAAATGTAACATTTGCAATGCAAAATTTAAAAGAGAAGGCGATTTGAAGGAACACATATTCATACACTTGGATATTTAATTTTTTTGAATGGAACATTTGCAAATCAAAATTAAAAACAGAAACGCGATTTGAAGATACACAAACTAACACATTCTGGTATTTATTCATTTGAATGTAACACTTGCAAGGCAAAATTTAAACAAAAAGGTAATTTACAAAGGCACATTTCAACACACTCGGATATTTATCCATTTGAATGTGACTCTTACAATGCAAAATTTAAGCAAAAACATAATTTGAAGAGCCACATATTAACACACAGATTGTTTATCATTTGATTCACTTAATAGTGACATGTGTTTCGCTCCAGGATCTTTGAATTCGGCCACAAAATTCACCTGTCTCGGAATAAGGAAAAGGGTGACAATTTTACGATAGTTGGACTCTGCCAAATCGGTTATCGGGTACGTGGATATTTTACCATCGGCCATCAGTATCAATATGCAAATCGATACACTGATATATAGATATTAAATCAACTTATTTACTTCTTATAAATAGCTAAAATCTCAGGCATGGTGGAGGAAGATCCAAAACTTAGGCATGCATTGAATATAAAAAAAAATATTCAGAAATCGGTAAATCTTTACATAATTGTTTCGGAATGATGTTTTTGGAGAATCAAGAAGTCAGAGATTTCTTTGTTTTTGAGCTGTAAGCTATTCTAGTTGAATTTTCAGATTAGCTCATCGACATATGGCACATGCCTGGATAGACCTGGATAAGACAACAAATGCCTGTGAATCTTTCCATAGTAATTTTGGTAGATCTTTTTATTTTGCGCATCAAAATACATATTTACACTTTTTTAGATTTATTAACTCATATGCAATGCGAAATCTGTCAACATCATGAGCTAAGTTTTCTAGGCAGTAGGTTGGGTTTCATGATTTGGCCGAATTCAAAGGTAGGATTACTGCAGCTACCTGGTATGTGGCCGAATTCAAGTATGCCCGTTTCGCTCATACGAGCATCATCGGACCTACAAAATAATATATGTAGAAAAATTATAACGGGCGGCTAGCCCCCAGACAAACGGGGCGGGGGTTAGGCAATAAACACATTTGGTATTTGAGACTTTTATGACAGAATTCTTTTTAGTAAGAAATAGTCAAAATTAATAGTTTTCAAAAGTGCTTACTTTTAAATATTGATATCGTACGATTTAGATTTTGCTAAAAGACTGTAAAGAGAAATCAACGAGCTATCCAACGATGTGCAGCACTAAGTAAGTTAGCATTGAAAAAAAAAAGGAATGGAAGCTACCCCCTCTAAGGGGTGAGCCAGGGTGCCTCATTTTAGTTCCTCGTCCAAGCCTTCAATTCCCCCGATACGTATTTGAGATCTTTATAGTATTTTTTGTCTTAGGAGATATTCCCGATTACTATTTTTCAAATTGTCACTCTATATGTACGTATATAGTGTGGTGGCATTGGTGGTTGCGTTCCGTTTTCCTATTCCGATATATATCCACGTTTTCTATTTATCTATCGATCCGCGATCATAGTTCAACTAATATCAGAAGTTTTAATATTTTTTATTCCAGCAAAATAATTAAAATTCAAGAAATTTCCAGGGGGGGTCGAGTGAGGTAATGTGCGTATGCTGGCTTCCAGATTTGCTATGATGTCTTCGAATGGTGTTATTGCAAAACTGCCACCTTTTCTCAGAACATTGGTTTCCGAATCAGTCTGTCCGTGATCATTACGTGTGGGTTTCGCAGTGTTGAACAAGAACTCAAACTTATTCACCATGTAACTTATTTTTCCAATTTCAGATTCGAACTGATAACTGGATACGTGTTCTCGTCACCTGGAAACGTCATAGATTCAATACCTGGAACCCTGATGCTGACCGATTGTCTCGAAACGTGTCAGGGCAACGAAAGCTGCCAATCAGTGAATTACGAGACCGGATTGTGCGTGTTGTTCGGATCAAATGCCGATGTACTACCGGGTAAGAAAAACTTTATCCAAAAAGATACTTTTAATAGACGGTAATGGGTAGTGACTAGTTCCTTATTTGTAACCGATTGATTAACGAAATTCCTCAAAGTCCAATAATTGTTAATTGGTGATTCAATGACATCCTAATTTGATGAGAAGAATTTAAATTGCATCTAATGTTTATTGACGGAAATACTTCTATCTATCTATTATGACAGGATGTACTCAACAACAAATTCATCTAATATTTCCAAGTTAAGTATATCAAAGATTCGCAATAGGTACAATATATCATTCAAGATTTCATAATATATTTTGCGGTTTGAAAATCTCGCACCTATAGGATAAGACGGCCATTTAAACTATATACCTAATGAAGCTGCATAAATTCAATTCTCTCTCCACCGTCATCATCATCTCTAGTCGAGTTATTTTTTTTATGAAATTATTTGAAAATTCTTTAGGTGTAATTGAAAAATAAATCAATCCTACCACAAACTCCCATCATGTTCCGACCTCAGGGTTTTTGACTTACATTGTCGATTTGTGAACAGCCAAAGGAGCGGTATCGGAATGACGGGTTTACTTGATTTTGTTGCAATTTTATTTCGCATCGGTGCATTCGTTAATATCAGTTTTTTTTCTGTGAGAATTATAGTTTTCATAACCTCACCGCAATAGAAAAGTTCCCACTCTACTGACAATTACTGATGATTTTAATTTATTTTGTCCACGGCCGATGAGTTTTCATAGTCCAGCATCGTATATGTATTCTCTCCCAATAATAATAACGAAGCCAGGGACAAGGCGCAATTAGCCGATCGCCTGTTTCTGTACATCTACCGCGTTCTGGGTATTCGCCCGGAATGTCAAACACAAATTGGCCGCCAGTTAAATGTATAATATAACCAATTTGTTATTCCCAAGTCGGGGTTTTGTTTGGCTTGCTCCTAACCGCCGACAATCGACAATCAAAGTCTATTGGCGTTCTTGAATTGTTCTCCTAGTTGGTATGGCAGGCATTTGACTGACGTGGCTGTTCCAAAAGAAAGAGAATCTGAATGTGGTGTATCTTAAAGAAGGTTCACATAAAATCAGTGACTTAAATACCTTGTGTTTTTTTTCTTTTAATCGATGAAGGATGCATAGAAAACGATCTTTTGTATAAGACTCGTAAGTTGTATTGTGCAGGAAAATTTGCTGATGACTTTTTTCAAATTGTTTTTTTTTCGAAGAAGCCATTTAGCTAGGTTTTTTATTATTTAAATGGGTAAGGTGGTTTTCAACTTTATCATGTTATAAGTATGAAGATGCCTCAGGGTTGGATGGGACGACCGGGCAAATGCCCGGTGGGCCGGTATAACTCTGAGCCGGTCGGGCCGCAGGCCCGACGCGTCTTAAATTAATAATAAAATTTTAAAATTTATATATTTGACAAAAACATCATGAAAACTATCTAAAACAATATTAAGGCTGTGGTCCGAATATAATCAGGGTTGTGGTTTCGCAGTCCGAAAGCGATCAAATTACTCTGGTACCTGGCAAAGTGGTTACTTTTGGACCTTGGTTTCCTGAAATCTGGTTAACCAAATGTCAAAATAGTTATCAACTATCGGATGTCGGTTCTGTTGGTTTTATCTGTAAATTCTGTTAACAATTTTTTATTTCATATTCGCGTTCCCTAGGTAACCGGAATTTTCAGTAACCATCTGACAACCGGATCGGTTACTTTGGTTAACAGAGATTTGGTGTCATTCGGACCATAGCCTTAAACTTAGAGGCGGCGCGTGCCTTCAAAAAGTGGGGGGGCTAAAAAAAAATGTTTCGGGTGCCACGCCCAAAAACGATTATTTTGAGCCTTCAAAACAAATTATCTGTACTACCGACCTACATTTTATGTGATATATAGAAAATTTTTGGTTTACTTTTTTCCCTCAATCGTCAATTATTTGTAAGGAAGTGGATAAAGGTCCGCAAGTCGAGGAACTTTAACATATTTTATAAAGATCCGCGAGTTGCGTCCCTTTAGTATATTTTATAAAGGTCCGCGAATCGCAGACATTTAACATATTTCATAATGACCCGCGAGCTGTCAACTCTATGTTTTAGTTTATTTTCAAAGGTCTGCTAGTTGAAAGCTCACAAGCCGAGAAAATTCGTTACTTGACTATTTTCCTTCAGGTAAAAATACAGAGTCGTCTGGCAATGCAGACTTACCCAAACTAACCTGTTCATCTATTGAGATTTAGTCCTCATATTAAGTTACCATTTTATTTAGAAGTTTAGAAAAAACACCAAATTAATTTACTTAAGAGTATAGCGTCCCTTGAACGCACTATGTTTTTTAGATAAAATGCTAACTTAGGGCGGGTATTATAAAACTATTTTGACAGATAACTTAAAGTTAACTTCTGAAATTTCATAGTAATTCAAACTTTTAATTATTTCAGTTTCCTGTCAAAATAATTTTATTATATCTACTCTTACAAGGGCTTAAGGTGGGTTCATTCAGAAAATAAAATAAAATAAAATAAGGAATAAAATAAAATTAAAAGATTGCCTCATAGAAAGCCACAGTGGCGTTTTTATACATTGATATTTTTTTGTATAAACGCCACCGTGGCTTTCCATAAGGCAATCTTTTAATTTTATTCTATTCCTAATTTTATTTTATTTCCTGTATGAACCCAGCTTTACATAGCGCTAGGCGGACGGGTTATTTTGGGTAAGTCTGCATTTTCTGTCTCTAGAATTAAGGTCCTGTTCCTGTTCTAAATTGAACATAAAGAGGTTATGTTATCAATTCACCAATTTAGTGAAGATATTCCGTGCGCCAATCGCGAACCTTTAAAAAATAAAGTGAAGGTCCGCCACTCGCGGATTTATGTAAAATATGTTAAAGTTTCACGATTCGCGGACCTTTAATTTGTTAAAAGATATTTCCGGCAGCATTTGCTCTCAGGCAGGAATACAGGTTAATAGATGCACATAATACTATATATTGATAATAGTCTCGACGCATAACTCGATCGGGGTAGGAAAAATGCGGTCGTCTCCCAGACTATAAGTACTTAGAGAGGAAAAAAAAAACTAAACCAAATAATAGAATAACAGCTTTTTCAAGGAATAATGAACAAGAAATACGTCATTTTTATAATAAGAAGCACAAGTCGACTCTGCCGGCGACTCAGACTGTAGCGGGAATTTAGGATCTCTATTTTTTTTGAAATTATGAGAAATTATTTTTATGTTTTAGAAAAAAAAGTGGGGGGGGGCTCGAGCCCCCCCGACGTGCCGTCTCTGCTTAAACTGAATATTATGCGTGAGGTCCGACACCACTGGTGACGGTTTAGTTGAGAATGCAGTGTTGCCAATCTGAATTTGTGAAATCACACGATATGCTGGTCAAATTACATAGTTTTACACGATTTCGTCTCACAATTACACGATTTATACACACGACCTTGGTACCTATTTAGTAACATCAAGAAGCAAGTATTTATGATTTTGGGAAATGGGTCAAATCCAGTCAAATCTGAGGGTTAATCATCGCTCCTCAACCAAAAATAAAGATGTGGCAACGACAGAAAAGCGATCCGAAAGTAATCTAATTACTAATTACTCTGGTTCTTGGAAAAGTGGTTACTTTTGGACCTCAGTTTTCCTGCCAGGATGAGGCACCCCAGATGACGTCATACAGTTATCAGGCAACCTACCTCTCTCAAACATCCTAGCCATAGAAGTAGTCACTTGACAGACAAAAGATAATGAAATGTAATGCAAGGAGCAATTAAGGGAAGAGAAAACGTCAAGTCCTATTTGTTTGTCACAATGGGACCGTGACCTATCTATATGTAATAATATCGAAAATGAAAATTCCATAATATTCTTTCGTTTTCTTTACAGTAAAATTTTTGAAACCCATTTTTCATTCTTGCCGTCTAAGGGGGCTGGATGAAAAAAATAGCCAGGGCCGGTTTGTCTAAACCCATCCAACCCTGAGATGCCTCCATCACGAAAACAGAATTGAATTTGAAAAAGCCTGCTAGACAGGGACAAATGGTACCGCTGAAAAATGTTTCTGCAAGGAAAGCAAGGATAGCATCAAGGAAACAGCAGATTGATTGCTATTTCGAAACTCCTAATCCTGAAAGAGAAACTGCCAAATTTTCAGGAAGCAATCGAAAGCAGGGGTACAAAATTCCTGTACAAATGCATGGCAGGTAGAATAAACAGGGGAAACTGTACCATCTAATAGTAACTTTAGGTTTCACAACAGTAAAAATTCATGGGTCAGTTAAGTTATCCCCCCCGCCTAATAGAAAACTTCTGGATGAAAATTATCCCATAATTTTGCTCTCATTTTGCTCCATTTCGCGCTTTTTGCTCCACTAATTTCGATATTTGCTCCATTACAGTGGAGAGACTATGTGGCCTATTAGGTGGGGGGGGAGGGCTGAATTAACGCTAGCCCCCCTCCCCCTAGTGAAAATTCAGAAATTTGATCATACTCATTTTGTTCTCCGAGTTTTGCTCCATTCTACTCCATGATCGGCGAGTTTTGCTCCACTACCAGGAATGACTTACGGAGCTCCCAAGAATCTCTCCCAGCCTTCCAGTGAAAATTTTTAAATTTGAACATGTTTATTTTGTTCTCCGAGTTTTGCTTTATTTTGCTCCATGATCGGGAGTTTTGCTCCATTACCTGGAATGACCTACGAGCTCCTAAGAATCTCTCCTATTCCTCCCACACCAGTGAAAATTTTGTTTGATCATATTCATTCTGTTCTCCGAGTTTCGCTCCGTTTTGCTTCATGATCGGCGAGTTCTGCTCCATTACCTGAGCTGCTTTTGGGTGCCACGCTTTGAGCACTCAGGCGCTCTGAAGCTGTTCTCATTTTCCTCGCCTCTTTTTCCTGATGCACCTGTAACTGAGTTTCAAGCATTTGAATGCAAAGCGCAGTGAGTATAATGGCCGTGAAGAGAACGGTGGTTCCTGGTTTCACTAGC